TGAGCCATCTCCCCAGCTTCAGCTACATTGTTCTAAAAACACTGAACTTAGTTTTCCCCATTTGTACAGGGATATGACACTGTATTAAATACATAAGGTCTTACCTTTACCTACATGGCTTTGATTGCAGGAACCAATACAGTATTCTCTGGACAACTAAAAAGCAAAAACACAGCATCTCTCGGTCACCCACCTTTAGCTACAAATGCTGATGTGCCACCAGGCCTATCTCTTCACTCTAAATTCTGCTCACATATCCCACGGGAGTCCCATCGGGGAGGGAAGCTGCTGAGCTGGGGGTGCCACCAGGACAGGATGCCACACATGCCCAGAAGTGATGAGCTGGGTGAATAGGACCTGGGTCACTACAGGTCACAACATGGATGAGCCATTGTCTCTGTGGTCAAAAGAAGCAAAAAACCTGAGAGATTAGTTTTAGTCTGGGAAGAGGAAGATCTGAGACTCTGGAGAATGCTGGCGAGGATGAGAATGTGAGACAGGCTGGCTGGCAGGGACAAGACTCCTCCTTCGCTCCCACAGCTACCCTGGGCCCCTCCGTTCCCCTTCTCTCCTCCTCTCCTCCACCATTGCCCCCTTTGCTTTCCTCCTAGCCTCTTAATGGCTGTCCCTGCTCTGGCTGACCTCCTACACACAGCCCTGGGACTGCTGGCCTGCAGGCCTCTGAAACACTCTAGAGATGACTCAGCAGCTAAGAGCGCTGGACCTAGGTTCTATTCCCAGTACCTACATAGTGCTCACAACCGTCCCTAACTCCAGTTCCAGGGCATCTGATGCCCTCTTCTGACTTCTATTGGCACGGTGCACAGCACAGACATATGTGTGACCAAATCACTCATACACATAAAATGACATTTTAAAAAATTGGAGGGGGTTGATTTTTTGAGACAAGGTTTTTCTGTGTAACAGTCCTGGCTGTCCTGGAACTCATTCTGTAGACCAGACTGACCTCAAACTCACAGGGATCCACCTGCCTCTACTTCTCAAGTGCTGGGATTAAAGGCATGTGCCAATACTGCCTGTTGACATTTAAAAATCTTTTTTTTTTTAATGTAGCCGGGCAGTGGAGGTGCACCCCTTTAATCCCAGCACTCAGGAGGCAGAGGCAGGTGGATCTCTGTGAGTTTAAGGCCAGCCTAGTCTACAGAGAAAGTTTCAGGAAAGGCTCCAAAGCTACACAAAAAAACTCTGTCTCCAAAAAACCAAAAAAAAAAAAAAAGTGTAGTCCTGTCATTGCTAAAATAGCTAAGAACCTGAAATTGTTAGGTCATGGGCCCTAGGAGAAAACCCACTGCTACTGTTCTGCTAAAGGAACAAAACAATCAAATGACTCCTAATAGCATGCTGTTATACCCATGAACCAGTGTCACCCAGCCCTCCTCAGGAAGCTTTTCCTTGTAGTAGATGGCATGTGTTATACCCATGAACCAGTGTCACCCAGCCCTCCTCAGGAAGCTTTTCCTTGTAGTAGATGGCATGTGTTATACCCATGAACCAGTGTCACCCAGCCCTCCTCAGGAAGCTTTTCCTTGTAGTAGATGGCATGTGTTATACCCATGAACCAGTGTCACCCAGCCCTCCTCAGGAAGCTTTTCCTTGTAGTAGATGGCAGTTGACACCGACACACACAACTGGACAGTATGCAGAGACAGAGAGACTTTGGAGCACTCTGCCCTAAATAGGATATCTTCATCAAATCAGCCCCTCAAGGCTCAAGATCGCAAGAGCCAGAGGAAGGGCTGATGCAGGTCTGAACTCACGGAGACCGTGAAGGCACACTGAGAGCCACAGAGGCCAAGCCAGATGAATCCCAGCCCTGAGAAGGGGAAGCGGACACCCTCCGCTAAGAAGCTATTTACATACAGAGAAACCCTGTCTCGAAAAAACAAAAAACAAAAAAAAAAAAGAAGAAGAAGAAGAAGCTATTTACGGTTGATACCTGCTGGGAAATGGGAAATTGGCTTTCTCCAATGGAATAAAGCTGTGTAGAACACCCACACTCACTCCAGGGCAAGCTGAAATTGACTCCATCTATGTGTGTGTGTGTTTTGGTTTGGTTTAGCATTTTTGTCTTGTTGGGTTTTTTTGTTTGTTTGCTTGCTTGTTTTAGTTTCCATTGTTTTTGTTTTTTTCTTGTTTTGAGAGACAGATCATGAAGTTATATGGGCAGGGAAGTGGAGAAGATCCGGAAAAAGTTGGGGAAGGGAAGGAATATGATCAAAATATATTGTATGAAAAAGTTTTAGATAGCTGGGCAGTGGTGGCACACACCTTTAATCCCAGCACTTGGGAGGCAGAGGTAGGCGGATCTCTGTAAGTTCAAGACCACCTTGGTCTCGAAAAAACAGTTTTTCGAGACAGGGTTTGTCTGTATTGTTTTGGAGGCTGTCCTGAAACTTGCTCTGTAGACCAGGCTGGCCTCCAACTCACAGAGATCCGCCTGCCTCTGCCTCCCAAGTGCTGGGATTAAAGGCATGCGCCACCAACACCCGGCTCCAAAAAATTTTTTCTTAGATAAAAAATTATTAAACAAGGTCTAGAAAGTTCTTAAAGAGCTTTCTTGTTGCCATAGTCAATGAGTGTTCTTCAGTTCTAATCTTGTTTCATTTGTTTTCCATTCATCTATTCATTCATGCTGATATGTATTGGTTAGAGCTGGGGATATACAGTGTTGAGCAAGACCTCCGCGCAGAGGTTCTCTACACAGGCAGCGTCCTGAGGGCAATGATACAGCTCCACTGGTAGAGCGCTTGCCTAGCGGGCACAAGGCTGGGGTCTGCTCCCCGGCACTCAGTAAATCACATGTGAGGGTGCGTACTTGTTATCCTGACACTTGGGAGGTGGAGGCTGCAGGGCCTGGAGTCTAAGGTCATCCTCACATGCTCGGTGAGTTTGAGACCAGCCTGAGCTACATGAGACCAGAGAGAGAGAGAGAGAGAGAGAGAGAGAGAGAGAGAGAGAGAGAGAGAGAGAGAGAGAGAGAGAGAGAGAGAGACTTCGTTCTTCCTTTTAAGACCCACACACTCATTTGTGCACACTCAACAAACATGTGCTCTCACTTTCTGTCTTCCCCAAAGCCTTGGGTAAGGAGTACTTTGTTGGTCAAGCATGTGTCTATGGGGAACACTGAAATGGGAAGGAAGTTGGTCTGGCTGCTGGAGGAAGCGGGGGGGGGGGGGGGGGGTAGCCTGCACGGGTCACTCAAGGGTGTGACCCTCTGCTCATGGGTTTAGGAGTGCAGAAGCCTGAATCTCTGAATTGCAAGACCCCAAAGGGAGAGCACACAGCCAGGATCTCAGGCTCTGGGCCACCCAGGTAGTGCTTGTGACCAGACCCTCCCGGAAGGATGAGTGGGGGCCTACAGGTTGACACTTTGTGGGGGCAATCCCGGGCACATGCCTGATGCCTGGTACTCCTTTACTGAACCCTGTCCTTCTCCTGGAGCATGTGGCTCCCACAGCTGAGGGACTCTCCATGGCCTTCTCCTGGAGCATGTGGTTCCCACAGCTGAGGGACTCTCCATGTCCTTCTCCTGGAGCATGTGGTTCCCACAGCTGAGGGACTCTCCATGTCCTTCTCCTGGAGCATGTGGTTCCCACAGCTGAGGGACTCTCCAGGCAGGTCCTGGCAGATTGCTGTTGTCTTCCTACAATGTGGGCAGTCAGACAACCAGGGCTCTGCTGGCTCAAAGTCTGTGTTCTGGTGAAGAAAGGCCAGAATTTCCCTTTCTTTCTCTTTCCTAGGGAATTAAACAACGTAGAACAAAAATAAAGAGGAGAAAAAATAATAAAGGGGTAGAAGAGAGAGTGGGAAAGGAAGAGTAGGTGGAGGGGACCTGAAGTTTTAAAAAGATTAGTTAGATATGTCCAGAATATTAGCTCGTGAGAGGCAGAACAGGATGATCTTGGATTCAGGTCAGCCCAGGCTACATAACAAAACCTGTCTTTAAAAAAATAAGAAGTTAGGGTCCCAGCAGTGGTGGCACACACCTTTAATCCCAGAAATGGGAAAGCAGAGGCAGAGGCGGAGCATGGTTGACAGAGTGAGTTCCAGGACAGGCTCCAAAGCTACAGATAAACCTTGCCTTGAAAAACCAAAAAAAGAAAAAATAGTTAGGCCTGACACAATAGCACAAACCTTTAGTCCCTGCACTCTGGAGGTAGAGACACAAAGAGATCTTTGTGAGTTTGAGGCCAGCCTGATCTGCTTGATCTACCAGATCTACCAGTTGAGTTTGAGGCCAATCAGGCCCTGTCTGAAAGAGCTAGAGTGAATTTAAGGCAAACCTAGGCAAATTAATGATATCCTGCAACAAAACAGAAACTTTTTTTTTTTTTGGTTTTATGAGACAGGGTTTCTCTGTATTGTTTTGGAGGCTGTCGGTCCAGCCTGGCCTCGAACTCACAGAGATCAGCCTGTCTCTGCCTCCTGAGTGCTGGGATTAAAGGTGTGTGCCACCACTGCCCGGCCAGAAGGGTTGACTGATAAACTGAGCCTGACCATCCAATTTGACCTGGAGACCACAGAGTGGAAGTCTCGCAAACTAATTTCCACAAGTTATCTGACCTCCACATGTGTGCTGTAGTGCGCGCGTGCACACACACACACACACACACACACACACACAAACAAACAAATAAATAAATAAATAAATAAATAAAATTAATGTAATTAAAAAAAGCCTGGAGCTACAGCTCAGTGTGGCAGAGCACTTGCCTTAGCTGAGTAAGGTCTCAGGTTCAATCTCCCGCACATACATAGGTACATACATACATAAACACACACATAAACACATATGTATGTACATACATACATACATACATACATACACACACATGTTTGTACATACATACAAACATACATACATACCTACAAGGTGGGTATGGTAGCCTTGGCAGGAGAAACATCTCAAGTTTGAGGCCAGCCCAGACTACCTAATGAATTCCAGGGCAACCTGGACTGTGGAAAACCTGCCCCCCAAAAAAGTTTTGTTTTTTTATTAAATTTAAGAAGAAAAAATATAGCCCTAATATTATGTCTCTGCTGAAAACCTCTGACAAGATCTATGGCTTAGTCAGTAGTCTCTTCCTCTTTACTCATCTCGTCCTCCTCTCCTCCTCCCAGTCATGTGGAGGGAGGTGTGTGGCAGGCTGAGGTGTTTCCACAGGTCTTCTGAGAAATTGCCTCATGGAGTTGCGAGACTGGAAAAGGCAGCAGCACCTCAGAGAGTCCATCCTAAGGAACACAGAGAGCCACAGAAGGAACAAGGCTGGCCCAGTTCTGTGACCGCAGGACCACGGAGGTTCAAGTCCGCTCTCTAAGCACCCTTTGTTTAAGTAACCCTGAAGAAGAATCAATCTCTTTGACGGAGTTAGAAGCCTGCCCTGACCCTCTCCTCTCCTCTGCTCCGCTCTGCTCTGCTCTCCATTCTTCCTTCCTTCCTTCCTCCCTCTCCCTCTCTCTCTCTTTCTTCCCTTTCTTATTTATTTATTTACTTACTTGTTTTCTTATTTATTTATTTGAGACAGGGTCTCTCTACATAGCTCTAGCTCTCCTGGAACTCTATAGGTTTGGCACTCCCTTTCTTCCTAAATAACCAATCATATCCTTATAGCACTTTAAACTTTTCAAAAAAATATATATATATATATTCCTGCGACACCATCTGTGAGTAGGTGGCTGAGCAGGGCTGCCCTTTGCTGGGCATATAAGGGCACCGTGAGGCCCAGCGTCGCGGGCACATTGTGGTCTCCAGCCCGGCTGGAGCTCAGGTTTCCTGACTGGAGCCTGAGGCCTGCTGCCAGCTCTCCCTCTGCCCCTCCCTGTACTCACCAGCTGTCCTCTTGAGATTCAAAACCTTCGGAGGTAAGACAGGATCTCCTGAGGGGATTAACTTCCCAAAGCTCTCAGCCTGGTCTTTGGGGTAGTAAAGCTCTCACAGAGAACGCCTGGGCAGTAAGGCAGGCTTGGATTTTAAAAGTTGACTCTATGTGGCTCATGGGAGTTTGTCCAGACTTCTGTGACTCCTTGTGACACAGCCAGCCAACAGTTGGCCTTAGACGTGCCTTTTGGAGCAGTTTTGACACTTTCTTTAAAAAAAAAAAAATTAAAGTAATTTCCTCCTTTTTTGAGGGGGCGGGTTTTGAGACAGGGTTTCTCTGTGGCTTTGGAGGCTGTCCTGGAACTAGCTCTTGTAGACCAGACTGGTCTCAAACTCACAAGAGATCCACCTGCCTCTGCTTCCCTGGTGTTGGTATTAAAGGCGTGCGCCATCACCCTCTGGCTCTTTTTTTTTTTTCTTTTGGTTTCTGTTGTTTTAGACAGGGTCAAATGTAGCCCAGGCTGACCTCAAACTTGATATGTAACTGAGGATGACCTTACATCCAAATTTCTGAGATTATAGACGTGGGCCATCATGCCTGACTCCAGGTATGATTCTTTTTAACTAATTCATTTAGTCAGTCAATCAGTTAGGGTTTTTTGTTTTTTGTTTTTGAGAAAGGAGTTCACATAATAGTCCAGGTTGTAGCTGAAGATTGCCTTCACTCCGGACCCTCATGCCTCCATCTCCCAAGAGCTGGGGTTACGGGCTCTAGAAGAAAGAGCTGGGGTTACAGGCTCTAGAAGAGCTGGGGTTACGGGCTCTAGAAGAGCTGGGGTACAGGCTCTAGAAGTAAGAGCTGGGGTTACAGGCTCTAGAAGAAAGAGCTGGGGTTATGGGCTCTAGAAGAAAGAGCTGGGGTTACAGGCTCTAGAAGAAAGAGCTGGGGTTACAGGCTCTAGAAGAAAGAGCTGAGGTTCCGGGCTCTAGAAGAAAGAGCTGGGGTTACAGGCTCTAGAAGAAAGAGCTGGGGTTACAGGCTCTAGAAGAAAGAGCTGAGGTTCCGGGCTCTAGAAGAAAGAGCTGGGGTTACAGGCTCTAGAAGAAAGAGCTGGGGTTACAGGCTCTAGAAGAGCTGGGGTTCCAGGCTCTAGAAGAAAGAGCTGGGGTTCCAGGCTCTAGAAGAAAGAGCTGGGGTTACGGGCTCTAGAAGAGCTGGGGTTCCAGGCTCTAGAAGAAAGAGCTGGGGTTCCAGGCTCTAGAAGAAAGAGCTGGGGTTCCAGGCTCTAGAAGAAAGATCTGGGGTTACGGGCTCTAGAAGAGCTGGGGTTCCAGGCTCTAGAAGAAAGAGCTGGGGTTCCAGGCTCTAGAAGACAGCAGACTGAGCGAGCCATGGAGCACGTTAGGAAGCAGCACGCCTCTGCAGCTTCTGCTTCCGGTCCTGGTGTGAGGTTCCTGCCCTCCTGAATTCCTGCTCTGACTTCCTCAGACGATGGTCTGCGGTGGAAGTGCAAGCCGAATAACTCCTTTCCTCCTCAAGTTGCTTATGGTCCCAGGGCTTCTTCACAGCAGTGAAATCTAAGGCAGGCAGTCAGGACTGACCACATTCGGAGAGACTGCGTCCATCGGCAGAGCTGGAGATGCTGGGTGGAGGGCTGGCCTGGTGCGACGAAGCCTTGGGTTCCATTTCCAGCATGGTTTGTTTGTTTGTTTGTTTGTTTTCTTTTTCTTTTTCTTTCTCTCTCTTTTTTCCCGAGACAGGGTTTTTCTGTTTTGGAGGTTCTCCTGGAACTGGATACCTAGAATCCTAACACTGGGGAGGTGGAGGAAGGAAGATGAGAACTTCAAGATCATGCTTGGGCCAGCCTGGGATACACGAAGCCTGTCTCAGAAAGGAGAGAGAGAGAGAGAGAGAGAGAGAGAGAGAGAGAGAGAGAGAGAGAGAGAGAGAGAGAGAGAGAGAGAGAGACTGAAGGAGAGAGGGAAAGAGGAAGGGAGGAAGGAGAAGAAAGAGAGCAAGCCGCATCTCCCATGAGAATAATAACAAAGACAGTAATGTGACCCTAGTTATAAGACCCCCGTGAGACCTCCGGAGCAGGAGGCTCTGAGGAAGCTTGCTAACTGTGGGTACCCTCAGCTTCTTAACTGCTTCTCGGTTTCTCAGGGTCAGACTGCTGCAGTTTATGAATCACACGTGGAAACTGCCCCAGCAACATTCCGGGACAAAAGAGACAGGCCCTTGTTTCTGATTGCTGATTGATAGTGAGTCAGGGAAAAGGGCACCAGACGGACAGTCTGGGGAGGCAGCCCCTGTTTTGCACAGGAGCCTAATGAAGCAGGGAGATCTTGGTACTTTTCCTGTCTGGTACAAGTGTCTGGGAGACCAGAGTTTGGCCCCAATGTTGGCCTCCTGAGTTTCTACCATAGCTGCCTCCTCTCGGGTTAGAAATGATGGCTGGCACTTCCTACTACCTGGGTGTTGGTACCTCTACACTTCTCCATAACTCATATGTTGAAATCCTAGCTCCCCAGGTTACAGCATCGGGGTCATAGGTCAGGATGGGCACTATGGTGCGCACCTGTAGTCCCAGCTACTCCGAAAGCTGAGGTATAAAGGTTGCTTGGAGCTATATGAGTGAGAAGACAGCTTGGAAAACAGTCAGACATGGAGGGGCATGCCTATAAGCCCAGCTCTCGGGAACCCGAGGCAGCAGCATTGCCTTTGGCAAGTTTGAGGCTGCAGGCACACAGGGGTGGGGGAGGAGGGATAGATCAGGCCGTAAGAAGTGATAGGTCCTAAACTAATTGCTGCATTCACTATGTTTTGTTTTGTTTTGTTTACTTTTGTTTAAGCCCTGGCTTGCATAGAACTCCCTGTGTTGACCAGACTAGTCTTGAACTGACAGAAATCTACCTGTCTATGCCCCTTAAATTCTAGGATTATGCACTACCCCACCAGGCTCAGTAGGTTAGTATTATTTATTTATTTATTTATTTATTTATTTTAAATTTTTTTGGTTTTTTTCGAGACAGGGTTTCTCTGTAGCTTTGGAGGCTGTCCTGGAACTCACTTTGTAGACCAGGCTGGCCTCAAACTCACAGAGATCCGCCTGCCTCTGCCTCCCGAGTGCTGGGATTAAAGGCGTGCGCCACCAACGCCCGGCCGGTTAGTATTTTTTAAATGTGTGTACTGTGCATGTGAACATAGAGAACAACATCTTCCCTTCGGAACTATCTACACTTGTTTTTTTTTGAGATTGGCTCTCTCATTGGCTTGGAACTCACCAAGCAGACTAGGCTGGCTCTCCATTGAGCTCAGGGATCTACCTGTCTCTGCCTCCCTAGCACTGGGATTACAAATGCACATCACCATACTTGATGTTTTGACATGGGTTCTGGGGCTTGAACTTAGGTCCTTGAACTTGCAAGCAAGCACTTTACCAACAGCTGAGCTGTCTCCCTGGCTCTATTCATAAAAAATGTCAAAGGTTCTTGTCTGTTCTTTCTGTCATGGGAGAATATATTGAGAAGGGGTACAGTCTGTGAAGAAAGTAGGTCCTCTCCAGACACAGAATCTATATATAGCACCTTGACCTTGGGCATCCTAGACTCTAGAGCTATAAGCAGCAAATGTTTGTTTAAGAGCCACCTAGGTATGGGATTTTGTCTAACAACTGAATCAACTGAAAAACACAAATGTGTTCTGTGTGTGCTATAAATATACATCACGTTCCTTTCTGGACATACGTTTTATTCAAGCCAATTCCTGGAGATTGCCAATATCCAATCAAGTCACAATCGCAATCTAAACCCCAAATTGTTTCATAACAAAAGTAATATAATTCACATCATTTGAACAGCCACTCAAAATGACCGCTATGAAGGCTATTAATAGTTGTTTTCTCCACTTACTCATTGTTCATTCACCATTCATTTGTGGGAGCTCGTTATGAACCAGACTTTATCTCTAAGCCCAGGATGTAGAATGAAATTCTCTCGTGTCTTTTGCAGACTAGTGGGAAGATGACCCACAGATACAGAGGCAGCCAGGGTGGGTGTGGCAATGCATGTGTGTGGTTCCAGCACTGGGAAGGGGGGTAGAGGTAGGAGGATCAGGAGTTTTCGGGGTCATGCTTAGGTGCCTAGTGAGTTGGAGACCGACCTTGGCTACATGAGACCCCGTTCAAAAGAAAAAAATGGAGGAAGAGGAGGAAAAGGAGGAGGGGGAGGGGAGGAGGAGCAATAGCAGTGATATATTGTATCTGTAAGCTCAGTGAGGGGAAATGCTGAGGAAAGGATGCTAAGTAAGGGGAGGGCTATTTTAGGAAGCACCACCCCCTAGCTTCATTAGGAAGCTGACATTCCATTTATGAAATTTGAAAGACACTGTCACAGACACATGTGGAGGGAGGAGAAGCTCACAGGGAGAGGAGAAGTCCATGGACCCCACGACAGGAATATACTAGGTAGGACTGAGAACAAGGAGGCCTGTGTTGTCAGAACACAGGGAGGGAAAACAGCGTGAAGACAAGAGGGACTTGATCTTGTGCAGCCTGTGGGTCCTATCGAGGACCTTGGACTTTCTGCAAGTGATGAGCTTTGCTGTGGAAAAGGTAAACTTGAACTATGTAAAGATGTGTTACATTTGTTGCTGCTGCATTTGTTTAACGATGTAAAGATGTGTTGCTTTGCCTGCCTAAGGCACCCGATTGGTTTAATAAAAAGCTCACTAGCCAATAGTTAGGCAGTAGAGAGATGCACAGGGCTGGTGGGCAGAGAGAATAAGTGGGAGGAGGAATCTAGGCTCCAGAGAAGAGAACAGGAGGGAAAGAAAGGGAGATACCTTGGGTCAGCCAGGCAGCCACCAGGCCAGGCAGCTGCCAGACATCCAGACCTGGAGTAGGATGTACAGAATGAAAGAAAGGTAAAGAGGCAAAATGTAGATGAAGAGGAACCGTTTACAATAAGTCGTAAGAGCGAATGGATAAGCATAAGATAAGGCCAAACATTCATAATTAATAATTTGGGGGCCAGTTGGTGGCCCAAGAGAAAGCCTGCCTCCAGAGCTTTCCCTTAGAGGAGACAGTGAGACCATCTGATTTACGGTATCCAAGGGAGGCTGGACCAGGTCTGAGGCCAGTTTAAGAGAGGGAGTAAGGGCAAGCAGAGATACCTGGGAACCCTTCCGCAGGGCTCTAGTGAGAAGATGACCATGGTGCTGACCCAGTATGAGGTGAAG